AGTCTCATTGCTTTTAATATTTAAATTTAAAAATAGCATGTGTTCATACTCCTCTTTTCCTCCCCAAGTAGCATACTCCACACCCCTGGGGTTGGATCATCCAAAAACTCTTCAAAGTCTGGCCCAGGCCCCAAGGCAGGACAATTACTTTCACCAGCATCTACCATGGTGCCACTCTCTTCTGAGCATCTCTCCTGCTGTTAAACACTATTTGGGAAGCCCTGGTCAGATGTAGAAAGTTCTGGGTGCATGGCAACAGTGATTCAGGACCTGAGACAGAGAGGGACTCTCTGACCTGCTTAGTGATGCTCAGCACTGGTGGATCCCCGGGGAATGCACCTGGGCTCCCAATGTTAAATTACTCGGGTAGATGGCTACTTTAACTTACCTACCCGCACATGCAGTAGGTATGTATAAGGAGACACCCTTACACTCACACATGTTCGTGAGACATGCCCATAGAGACTGGGTAGGAGGTTTGTCAGCTTCAGCCACATCTTCTTGTGGCCACCTAGGTCCTTAGTTGAGCCAGCATGGCCAGTCTCTCTCTCTCTGTTTCCACGGCACATATGCCATGAGGGACTCACTCCCCTGTTCTTTCTCATCATCTTTCCCCAATAGGATCCTTCTTAATCCACTCCCTAACATTGAACCTCAAAGTGGGAGGGCTTGAGGTATTGACTTCTTCCCAGAAATCATGAGGAATATTGGAAAACGTGGCTTTCTCAATGCAGAACAGTAAATATATGCTGTAAATGCTACAGGCACTTGCTTGCTGACATCTAGTTACACAAAGGGTCCTGGCTAACATCTAGTTATCAAAGAACATCTACTCCAAGGTAATGTGATGTTTTCACTGATAATCAGCATTTAATCTTACCAAAATAATTTGAAGTTCAACCTCAGTGGATACCACCTCCATACAGTCATAACACACAATCACATAGATGGTTGAACATTACGGCATATGTGCAAAGGGGATGGTGCTTATGAACTTCAAATCAGGAAAGACATTGCTTCATTCTTGTTGTTAAGACCATTGACTAAATCAGGAGAAAGACCAAATGCATGAGTATCTATTTGCTTCATTATTTCTGTTCGATTCTAGCATAGGATCTTAGTAGGAGTTTTATAGATTGAATTGCGTCCTCCTAAAATTTATACACTGAAGCCCTAACTTCCAATGTGGCTGTATTTGGAGGTAGAATCTTTGGAAGAAATAAAGTTAAATGAAGTCAAAAGGGTAGGCCCTAATCCAATTTGACTAGTAGCTTTTAAGACGAGGGTGAGACACTGAGGGTATGCATACAGGCAAAACGCCATGTGAGGACAGCAGGGAGGCAGCCACCTGCAAGCCACAGAGAGAGAGTATGGGAGAAACCAAGCCTGCTACTGCATTCATCTCAGACCCCCAACATCCAGAACTGTGAGAAATTAATTTATGTTCTTTAAGTCACTCAGTCTGTGCTATTTTGTTATGGCAGCTTAAGCAGACTAATACAGGCACAAAACCTAGACATCCTGCCCAAAGAAGATGATGCCTGAGATGCCCAGTGAAAAAGTAGGAGGTAAAGAAAACAGATGCAAGGGTATTTGAGGTGGAATCATGTTGTCTGATGTTTGGAGTGTTTTCTGCCAGCCTCTTATGGGTTCAGAGGATGGTGATGGAGCTAAAATGCAGAGAGAAAGAAAAGATCAACACTTGACCTTCACATTTCAAAATAGTCTTGTGAAACTCATCAAAGTGATGATAAGGTGGTTCAAAAAAGTTATTTTAGGGATATATTTAAGATGTTGAAAAGCTAGAGCTACACTCACAAACAAAATAAGCATCAGCAGTGACAAGAGACAGAATGTGGACTCACATGGCCCAAGGCTAAAGCTGTAGAAACGGTTGCTGGTCCCACAAAGCCAACTGCCACTGGAAACCGGGCCCAAGCTCACTATTGGGGAGTGGTCCAGAACCAGCTTCCGTGTGTGAAACCTACAAGTTCATTGGGCTTCTGGGCACACAGACACGAAATCAAGCCTGAGATGGTTTTCCTGTGGCTGCAGATGATGATGAACTTTTCCCTGGGGTAGCGGGAGGGAAAGGTGGTATCCATTCATCCTCTGGAAGCCACGAAAAGCTGTGCTTTGGCCTGGGCACAGGATCAGTGATATCTCTATGGGTGCAAACCGTGGGTCACAAATATGAGAGCATTGATGGTTCAGAAAACCCAGGGACTAGGTAAAGGCAACAACAAAACCACCAGGCAGGAGAAGTGAATGCAGGGACAAGAAAAGGCAACTAAAACAAAAACCAATACCACACCATGGGCACAGTAGGAAATTCGTAGCACACGAGGAAAGCTACCACTATAACAATCATCCAACAGACAAAACAACCAAAAGGATTCACTCAGAGGAAATGAAGATAACATAGACCAATCCATTCACTGACCAATTCAATAGGAGTGTTGGGAAGCTACACATTTACAGTGCTGGGTACTGTTCTAGGTACCGAAGATGCATGGACAAGCAGACAGAAGTCCTTGCCTGGCTCAGGGGAAGGAGATAGCCAAACTAACTTAGATAGTACACTAAGAATTAGTAAGTGCAACAGAGAAAAATGAAGCAAAGTCAAGTCAATTCAGAATATGGGGCTGGGAAAGAATGGCTTACAATTTAAGTTGGATTTAAAAATAAAGATATTAAGCAGTTCTCCAAGAAATAGTGAAAGAAATACTATCGATCAAAACACCAGTTGATTATAAAACAAAAATTGGTGAAAATGAATAAAAAACAAGTGGACATAGAAAAAATAATAAGAAGCAGTCCATGAAATGAAAAATATAATCTTTAAAGTAAAAGACTGAAAGTTCAGTAGATGGGATGAAAATAAATAAACCAGACACAGTAAAAGATACAATTAATAAAATGGAAAATAACATTGGAAAATTTATGCATAATTCCACACAGAGATATATAGCAAGGAGACTATTAAACAAAGTTGGATAAAGCCAAATGTTGATTAGGATCAAATTTTCATTAGGATATAAGGATGTAGGAACCTCATACATAGCTAGTGGAAGTAAAAGCTATTACTATTCTGAAAGGCAATCTTGCACTAGTTAAATTAGGTATGTTCCTGGAGATAGGTAGAGACATAGATGGATACAGAGAGAGAGAGACGGATAGACAGATATGTGTATAGAGGTAGGAATAGGGATATCTCAAAGAAATGTTCTAAATCCAGTAAGAGGACAAATACAAGTGGGATTTATCTGTAGTGTCAAGGCTATCGAGAAGATTGGATGCTATCATTGGGAAATGAATTAGTAACACTTGGTTGGAGTACACCAAGCATTAATATGCAGCAATTAGAGGTAATGAACTTGACATGCACACAACAATATGTGTGTCTCTTACAAAATACAGTGTGACATATATAATTGTTTCCATAAATTAAAAATACATGTTCAGAAAACAATACATGTTTTAATATCACATATGAACAAAATAATACACATTAAACACACAGGAGTGGTTCTTCTGTGGGAGAGGGGAGATAAATAAATCATGGTAAAATAAAATAAACACATAGATAAAACAAGTGAGGGACCTTGTTATACACTAGTTGTCATGAAGTGAAGTGTGTGATTAACACAACCCTCAGTATCTGAGCTCCATGAAAAGGAAAAAAATAATTAAAAGCATAGTTATTTAAAGAGAAGTTAAAAGATATGAAAAATGATTGAGAACTTATAACATCAATCTAATGCAACTTTCAGAAGTAACAAGTAGAAGGGAAGGAGGAGGGACAATATTAGGAATGACAATGGGTGATAATTTTCAAGAGTTAACAAAGAATGGGAACTTTATATTGAAATCATATGCTGAGAATAATAAGTTTATACATGAATATTAATCATAAATAAAATATAACAGCTCAAAATTAAAGAGGAATTATCCAAGTCTACCTAAGAGATTGTCTACCGCTATGGTCTGAATTTTTGTTTCCCCCTGAAATTCCTATGTTGAAATTCTAACCCCCAAGGTGATAGTATTAAGAGGTGGGCCCTTCGGGAGATGATTAGGTCATGAATATGGAGCCTTCATGAATGAGATCATAATGCTTTCATTTTTATTCATTTATTTATTTTTTTGAGACAGAGTCTCACTCTGTTGCCCAAGCTGTAGTGCAGTGATACAATCTCAGCTTACTGCAACCTCTGCCTTCCAGGTTTGAATTATTCTCATGCCTCAGCCTCCTGAGTAGCTGGGATTACAGGTGAGTGCCACCATGCCTGGCTAATTTTTATGTTTGTAGTAGAGATGGGATTTCACCATGTTGCCCAGGCTGGTCTCAAACTCCTGACCACATGTAATCTGCCTGCCTCAGCCTCCCAAAATATTGAGATTATAGGCATGAGTCACCATGCCCAGCCCATAATGCTTTTATAAAGTAAACCCCAAAAAGATCCCTTGACATACTACGTGAGAACACAGTGAGAAGGTGCCATCTGTGAACCTGGAAACAGGCTTTTACCAGACACTGAATCTGCCATAGCTTTAATCTTGTACTTCACAGCCTCTGTAACTGTGAGAAGTAAATTTCTGTTGTTTATAAGCCACCCAGCCTGTAAGATTATTTTATAGTAGCCTAAACAGACTAAGACTTCTACAAAAGAATTATACCCAGACTGACAGCAGACTTCCAATCAACCACAATAGAGGTGAGAAGAAAATGGAAAGTCATCTTCAAAGGAGCTGTGAGCCTAAATTCTGCACCCAGTTAACTGTCATTCCAGAGTATTTGAATTAAGGACATTTTCAGACATACAAGAATAAGAGAGTTTATACCTCCACTGAAAGAACCATTAAAAGATAAATTTTAGCAAGAAGGAAACTAAATTCAGAGGAGTAGAATACAACAAGAAATGGTGATTAAAGGAACTGGTAAACTATGTTGGTAGATGCAATGAATTCTTGATAGAAAAAATAAATATGGGCCTTGTGGCCGACGTGCACCGAGGACAGGAAGATGTCACCCAAGCGCATAGCTAAAAGAAGGTCCCCCCTAGCAGATGCCATCCCCAAAAGCAAGAAGGTGAAGGATGCGAGGGCCGCTGCCTCCCGCCACGTTCCTGGTGCCCGCTCCTGCCAAGTCTCACACAGGTCCCACAGCACAGAACCCGGCTTGGTGCTGACACTAGGCCAGGGCGATGTGGGCCAGCTGGGGCTGGGTGAGAATGTGATGGAGAGGAAGAAGCCAGCCCTGGTATCCATTCCAGAGGATGTTGTGCAGGCTGAGGCTGGGGGCATGCACACCGTGTGTCTAAGCAAAAGTGGCCGGGTCTATTCCTTTGGCTGCAATGATGAGGGTGCCCTGGGAAGGGACACATCAGTGAAGGGCTCGGAGATGATCCCTGGGAAAGTGGAGCTGCAAGAGAAGGTGGTACAGGTGTCAGCAGGAGACAGTCACACAGCAGCCCTCACGGAGGATGGCCATGTCTTCCTCTGGGGCTCCTTCCAGGACAATAACGGTGTGATTGGGCTGTTGGAGCCCATGAATAAGAGCATGGTGCCTGTGCAGGTGCAGCTGGACGTGCCTGTGGTAAAGGTGGCCTCAGGAAACGACCACTTGGTGATGCTGACAGCTGATGGTGACCTCTACACTTTGGGCTGCGGGGAACAGGGCCAGCTAGGCTGTGTGCCTGAGTTATTTGCCAACCGTGGTGGCCGGCAAAGTCTTGAATGACTCCTGGTCTCCAAGTGTGTGATGCTGAAATCCAGGGGAAGCCGGGGCCACGTGAGATTCCAGGATGCCTTTTGTGGTGCCTACTTCACCTTTGCCATCTCCCACGAGGGCCACGTGTACGGCTTTGGCCTCTCCAACTACCATCAGCTTGGAACTCCGGACACAGAATCTTGCTTCATACTCCAGAACCTAACATCCTTCAAGAATTCCACCAAGTCCTGGGTGGGCTTCTCTGGTGGCCAGCACCATACAGTCTGCATGGATTCAGAAGGAAGAGCATACAGCCTGGGCCAGGCTGAGTATGGGCGGCTGGGCCTTGGGGAGGGTGCTGAGGAGAAGAGCATACCCACCCTCATCTCCAGGCTGCCTGCTGTCTCCTCAGTGGCTTGTGGGGCCTCTGTGGGGTATGCTGTGACCAAGGATGGTTGTGTTTTCGCCTGGGGCATGGGCACCCACTACCAGCTGGGCACAGGGCAGGATGAGGACGCCTGGAGCCCTGTGGAAATGAGGGGCAAACAACTGGAGAACCATGTGGTCTTATCTGTGTCCAGCGGGGGCCACCATACAGTCTTATTAGTCAAGGACAAGGAACAGAGCTGATGAAGCCTCTGAGGGCCTGGCTTCTGTCCCACTCAACCTCCCTCACAGAACAGGGAAGCAGTGACAGCTGCAGATGGCAGCGGGCCTCTCCCCAGCCCTGAGCACTATGTCAGCTCCTGCCTTTTCCCATCAGCAGAACAGCATCCTTTTCCTATTTTTCTTCCTCCTCTTTGGAATTCTCCTGGGACCTACAGAATAAAGGAGGGGATGGACAGGGGATTTTCAGAAGGAACATGGCTCGTTCCAGAGCTATATGGTTAGACGTTTCTCCCCTTTTCCCTACCTTCCATGGTCCTGGTTGGCCTGGGCTTTACCTACTAGAAAACCAAAACCTCCCCCTTGGGGTTTGGTGCCCACTCTCTGAGAAGTTGGGTTCCATCAAGCCCCAGTCTAGTCATGTGCCCCTTTCCTGTCTCTAACAGTCTACAGGCAAACCAATGGTACAGTCATAAGACCCGTCTGTCATGGACCCACGCCCAGAGAAACGTGCAGAAAAAGCAGAGCTGCATGGCTGTGGGCAACTCTAAGCCAAATATTTGGCTCAGAACAGGTGTCCATGGGACAAAAAAGAATGATCCTCCACTTGACCAAGAGAAAAATGATTCTCCCAGAAGCACAAAGCGTACTCTTGCCCCTCAGGCATTGCCTTTGTCCATCGCACCCACCCATTCATCTTTACCTGCAGCCAAGGGCCTGGAATCGCAAAGAGAAGCCACGCTGGGCTGGGCAGAGCAGGGCAGGGTATGGGGTGGGGAGAGAGGGTGGAGGGTTTTATAAACAAACTTAACAGCAATAATAAAAGGGGAGGGATTGAAGGAGGGACAGAGTGTTGGAGGGCCAGAGACTAGTCCTGAGATGGAAACAGCAACTTGTACAGTGGCTGAGAAAATAGGATATAGTTTTAATTTTTTTAAATTGTAAAATATTTTGGAGGGAGAACAAAATCTTTTAACATTTTGAATAAATTTAGAGTTTTATTAAAAAAAAGAAAAAATCAATATGGAACTAAAGTTTTAGAGCAATAACACAGATGATGGAGCAGGGGTGTGTGAAGGGCATTTGAAGCATGCTAAGAGCAGTGTCATATTTGGATTGAAGACAGATATGCTGAATAATTTTAGATACTGCTTGAAAATATAAATGTGATTTTGTAAAGTGAAAATCCTAGGGGACAATCCATTCCACCAAATTGTAATAGAATCTCCAACTTCCAAAGCAAATAATAGGAAAAAGGAAGACATCTAGCATTATTAATCCGTCAGAAGGAAGAAAAGAAGGTAGAAAATGGCAGCAAAAAAAGAAAAAAAAAACACAAGAAATGGAACACATTAAAAAGCAGAAATAATAATAAACCTAAATGAATTACATTATCTCACTAGAAAACACAATCAAATTCAATTTTTAAAATTTTAGTATAAGCTGCCTGCAGAAGAGTTACCCAAATAAAACTAAACACAACGTTTGGAAATAAAAGTGTGTGTGCTGAGGGAGGGGAGGGGTTAAAAAGAAATAATCTAAGCAAAATCTGGCTCTACACTAGAATTAAGATAATCAAAAACTTGCAGACACCTAGCAACATACCTTCAATGAGTATTTATTGAGTATGCACTTATAAATACATACCTATATATGTGACTGTGTATGTGTCTGTGCACACATAACTATATATGTATATAGGCATATGTGCACATACACATACAATGAATTACAAGGGGAATTTGAAAAACTAATAGCTGCAGTGGGGGATTTTAAGAATGCTTTTCTCAGACACTGGTTAAGGTCTAGGAGAAAATAACCTTCCTCAAAGGACAAGAAGGAAACCCTCAGCTGGTGGTGTGGCATGCACATGCTTTAGAGTTGGCCTATAGTATCTGACCCTCTTCTGATCACCTTGGACTCTTCATTCATCTGCCCACCCACTCACAGCAAGACATGCTTACTGAGTGGCCAGTCAGCATCAGGCATGGGGCAGGGGATAGAAGTGAGCAGGGCCCAGCTTCTGTCTACAAGGAGCCCACAGACCCTCAAACAGATGGTCCTATTAGAGACAACCATGACATTCTGGCAGGCAGAGAATAAGAGGATTCCAGGATCCTGGAAGTGTTCCTGGAGGAAAAATCATCTTAGGTAAGTCTTGGAGACAGTTAGGAATTGGCTAAGTGAGGAAGGTGGATGGGGTTGTAAGAGAGAGGGATAGACCCAGAGGTATGAGAGAGCACGGTGTGTCAGGAACCTTGGCTGAGTATCCTAGAACATAGCAGGTGGCGGGGGGTAGGAGGAGAGCAGTAGAAGAGGTGGCAACTCAGCCATGAAGAGACAGAGTCAGGTTGCCTTGATGAGGAATCTGGACTGTATCCTGAAGGTGATGGGCCAAGAACATAATGGGGCTAGTACCAGATTTCAGCAAGACCAAGGTCTCAGCATTGCAGAGGGGAAGAGACTGCAGGCCAGGTGGGAGCTTTTCTTATGCCTTATGAGGATATTGTGTCATTCAAGTAATTACTCATTCAGTTGGTTTTTCCCTTCAACCTTTTATTAGAACCTTCATGTGCTATTCCTTTTCTCTCCACCAGGGAAATGAAAACAATCAGACCTGGTCTGTTCTCTGTGGGTTAATAGTTTAGGTGAGGTGGTTGCTGTACTATGCAATGAAAGCTGCAACAAAACTGATGGCATGCAAGGTTTCTGGAATGATTGAGAATGACCTGCTTATTCTGCTTGGGGGAACCAGGGAGGGCTTCTTTGGGGAGGTGGCATATCTGTTGAGTTCTGAAAGATGATGAAGGTCTCGTGAAACACAGTTGGCAGAGGAACTCTCACACAAAGGCACAAACTTTTGAGCATGTCAGGTCGTGGGTGGGTTATAAGCGTTAAATGATGGAGGTGGTTTCATCATTCATATTTTTCACGTGTGGAAATTGAGAACTGGAGAGATTATGTTGCTCGTCAAAGGTCATGATCAGTCATTGCGGACTCCAAGTCATTGCTCTTTTTACTATTCTGCCTACATCGCTTTCTTTATTGTTGTCTTAATTTTATTCAAAGAAATGATAATGGAAACGTGGTTTTTGGAGGAAAGCATTTGGGCCATGTGTATTGGTGTATGTGCCTAAACATGTGTGTGGGTGTGTGTGTAAATTTGTTGCAAATGAGTATGATTCTGTGTACTCTGTGAGCCAGATATCCATTAATCAACCTCTAAAACCATGCCTTTGTGGGTGACAGATGTTTGGATTCAATTATAATGATGGGAAAGTTGCTTTTCCTTCCAAGGAAAGAAGGTATTATTTGAGGGTGAAAGTCAGCCATATATAACATTGGTGATGAATATTGTTCATTGTGGAAACACTCTGAAAGTGGCCTGTTTAAAAGAGGGTAATGCATTCAGAAGCTTTTAACCCACTGCATTTAATTGCAACCGAGTGCCAAAATAAACCCCCTGTTAACAAACCTCCAGCTTTCCACTGATTTCTCGCACTTGCTCCCAGCTGTGAGTGAAGAATGGAAGTCAGATGCTTGGATTGCTTGCAATGTGTATAAAGAATTCACATGTGAATCTTTGGCTGCTCTACAAACAGGAAAGTATCCTTTCATAAAAAGGATGTTCAGGCCAGGGGCAGAGGGAAACCCAGGGCCACGTTGTCATCTGTTGACTAACTCCTGTCCATTACACATAATCAAGACTTAGCTAAATAACTACCATTAACTGAACTGAATATGAATAATTTTTGGTTCATCTAAGACTGATTAAGGGTAAGTATTTTTCATAAGTCATCCAGAATAATATAATCCACTATTGCTCCAAAGTTGTCCCAAAGGGCTTCACTTTGGTTCAACTCAATACAAGTACATTTTGTTCATTTGAACAGATATTAAATAATACCTAGTAGATGCCAGACACTGTGAGTAGCCCAGTGCTCCTCCTCAGAGAGAATTGTCAAGAATCGGAACAGGCAAATGTAGCAAAATCTTTTGTTGCCAACTTCCATTCGTTAATTAAATGAAATTTTAAACACTAAGAGTATACAAAAACAAAAAATGGAGAGAGAGAAGGGAAGCAGTCAGTTGTCACTGTCCTTCTGATGGCCCACAGGCCACAGGGGCTACTATCTCGAGGGTGGCATTCAACACTCTCTGTGGTCCATCCCCAGGTCCTTGTGCAACTTCTGTGCTATCTCTCATCTCTGCCATCTTCTAACCCTCCAATTATACACAGTATGTGTCTTTGTGAATGTCATTTCTCCTGCCTAGAAGCTGACACATTTGTCTTCCTCAACGAAGCACCTTCAACACACAGGAAAATGTGACCTTTGGATAATCACTATTGCCTTCCCAGTACTTACCACAGATACCCAGTAAATATTAGCTGAAGGAATGAATGTTCATGTCGTATATACTGTGGGCTCTAGGGCCATTACAATATCCAAAAAGTAAACATCAGCTATATAGGTTTTATATTCAAAATTGGCATACATCTGTAAGACTAAGAACATGCACAAGAAGAGATCATTAGTGTGTCTTTATCACCAGCTACAAGAGATGTCAAGTCCTTCCTCGCCTGCATGCTCTAGCAATTGTGTGAGGTGGATGTTTTGTCCCCATGGTACAAAGCAAGCTTAAGGAAGTTCACTAACTTAATCAGAATTACCCAACAAAAAAATGGTGAGATGGAGAATTGATCTTACAGCCATCTGCCTGATTCGACCATACCACCCTGAATCTGCACCTGGTTGACCGACCCAGTCATGCTCATTCCTAGGGGCCTGTCTGCCATGTGGGAGCAGATGGGACTCTACCATGCACTCAGTGTTGGGGTCACTGCTTTGCTCATAGGGGCTCATACTGTGAGTGAGCATCATGTGGTACACTTGATGCTGTGGCTTAGATGAGCTTCCAGAAGCCCATAAAAGGTGCTTGGCTGCCCACGTGTTTTCAGCCCTTCTCCAGTTTGAACAGTAAAGAGTGGTGGTAGAAGGCTCATATGTCATACCCAGATGCTCTGCTGGCTCTCCTGGGTGACTTGGGCTGCTCTCACAGGGCCATCCTGAGGCCTCATGCAGACCTAACAAATCTAGCCCAACCCAACCAGACGTCTACATTCCTCGCCTTGGTGGCTGCAGCAGCTCTCTCTACTGGTTCTCCTCCTGCTTCTCTGGCTGGTGCTTCTCAGTCTCCTTTGCTGGTTGTTCTTGTTCTGCCCACAGCTTGATTGCTGGTCATCCCAAGGACTCTATGTACTCAATGCCATAGATGCTGGGGATACAAAGACAAATGATCCCAGGGAGACTGTCCATTTTTTTCAACAACCTGTGGTCCTGTAGAGGAAAAAGGTAATGAAAGATTAGATTGTTCTGGAGACTCTAATGAGAACCAAATGTGTTCTGTTTGGGACATAGGGGAGAGTCATAACTGGAGCCTGGAACCTTTTCTGTAGAGAGAGAAGAGAACAGTGGAGCTGAGTAATAAGAGATGAGCAGGTTTTAACAGTAGAGGGGACATGAGGGAAGCAGAGGGCAATTTATGCAAGTGCAGACAGCACTAGGAAATGTGTGGATGTCTGAACAGTTTGTCAGGTCAGAGGCACTGTGAGTAGCTCCCAGTGCCTGGAGCATTGGGTGCAAAAGGGGTGTTGTGGATGATGGAAGACGCCTGGAGCAGTCAGTCTGGTCTGGATTTGGAAGATCCAAGGGTCCTAGCCTTTCCCTTGAAGTTAGTAGACATTCACTGAAGGAATTTTACAAGGAGGGACTCTGATCCTGTTTGTATTTTAGGAATATTATTCATGATCTGAAGAGGACATGCCTATGGGTTTGGATAAGAGAGAAAAGAGAAAGACAAGACTGGAAGCAGGAAGATCAGTGAGGAGTTGTTGCTTCAGTGGAGGGGGAATATGAGGGTGCCCTGCACCAAGGAGGACCAGTGGAAATTGATGGGTGGCATTTTGGACGACATGATCCAGAGGTAGAATCCACAGGGCTTCAT